ATTTTTTCAACGTGAATTTGTGCTTGGTAGAAGAACTGCTCATTGGATTCTGACTAGGGAAGTTTGAACATTGATTATTTATTGCTCGATACTTATGGGCCTAGCTTAAACCAAATTAGCAAGGCAGGTAGGGCTGCAAACGAGTCGAGTCGAGTCGAGTCGAGTTTTGAGCTAATCGAGCCGAGTCTCGACTGAATTTTACCAAGCTCGAGCTCGGGCTCGAGCTCGACAAGCCGGCAATTTTCGAGCTCGAGCTCGACTCGAATCAAGTCGAGCCGAGCTCGAAAAAAATAAAAAATAATTATTTTATTTTTAAAAAAATAAATAAAATAATATTTGTTTTCTTAATAAATAATAAAATATTAAGGATATATACGTAATTTTACTATGAAAATAAAAAATAAAAAAATATATATATAATATACGTATTTTTATTATTAAATAAAAATAAAAAATATATATATATATACTCAAGCTCGCGAGCTAACGAGCTTAATATTCTGAGCTCGAGTTTGACTCGAGCCGGCTCGAGCTCGATTAATATCGAGCTCGACTCGAGTTTGACTCGAGCGGCTCGCGAGCGGCTCGATTCGTTTGCAGCTCTAAAGGCAGGCATGTCCATTCTTCTATTTTATGCATACCATGTGATTCATCTCATAGAAATATTTGTACGTTCTAGACCATATATGTTGTTAATGGAGCAATGAGAAGACTTTCTCAACTTGGTTTGTTTACAAATCGGGAAAGAATTCTTTTTTTTTTTTGGAGACTTTGTCAAAAGAATATGCTTATCCGCTTCAACCGCACATTTAAATATCAATAAATCATCATTGAGCAGTGAAGCTGTTGAAACTTGAAAGCATATTATATACTCCCTCCGTCCCATTCATTTGGTTATGTTTGGGAATCCAACTTTTTAAAAATAGTGGTTTGATTGTAATGTTTGTGTTTCTCTTTCCAATTTTACTCCTCAAATTCAAATTTTAAATTTGAACGTATGATTAAAAAGAAGGGTTATATTGGAAAGAGAGTGTAAAAGTTGTTTTGACTTTTCTAACATGACAATTGTTTTAGAACATCCTAAAATGAAAAGTATAATCAAATGAATGGGACGGAGGGAATATTTCTTTCCAAAGCGATCAGCTAGGTAGGTGAAAATTCCAAGACAATATTATTCTACTCCGTCCAAACATATTATCATTTCACTCTATTTTTGGCAAACAAATGATTATCCAAAAAATGGACGAAGAATATATGCTTAGATATATGAGTTTGAAAGCTTCTGTCTTCAACTAATTTCATGGGTTTATATATAGCATGTGATACATATCATACATTCTGTGATGTCATTTCAAGTATGGAAATTAACCCGTAATTTTTATATGCCTTTGACAAGGGATTTTTTATGCACCTTGAAAACAACCAATTGTATTAGGGCACTATCAAAGTCATCTCTTAGCACGTCTTATCTTGAGGTATTTTAATCATAAGTCAACTACCTCAAGAATTATAGCCTAATATATTTGTTGTATCGAATGTAATCCACTTTTCCTACGATCCTAAGGCCCAATTTACAAATTAGTGAAAAAAGAGGACTCACAAATGTTTGCTTAGTTGATATGAATAAGCAAGAAAAGATCACAAATTTATAGTAAGTTATGAAAGCTTAGGTTCAAGTCTAACTATATGTGAATTTTTTTTCTTACTATTTATGGTTTATTTTGCAGTGTTATTTGTTTGTAATTTTCACTACTTGTGAGTTAGTTTTACAATAGTTTATTTTTATTACTCCCAATATTATAAGTTAATTGTAGTCTTATCAAAAATAAAATAAAAGTAAGCAACAGCACTAATATATTGACATCAATTGTTTTACTTTAACTTACTGCTTCAATATTTTAGTCTCATATCAAACTTCAACTAAACGTGAAACATGAAATCCAACTTCATTCATACTCAGAAAATGAAAGATCTAAGCGCAACACGAGAAAAAGATGTGCACAATCAACTAATGATATACCCTAATCTAATTAGAACATTATGGTAGGATTTGACATTGCTTTGAATAGTGAAACAAGGAGATGAAGCAACAGTTCTTCCAAGGACTATTTATCGTATAAGAATTTGGGGGACTGAAATGTGCAGCATTGGTACATCTTAAAGGGGTACATCAACGAAAAACTCAAACAAGACAAATTGAATATAAACAATTGGAACCGTTCTACAGAAGTTAATTTTAAGAACTTCTACTTAAGTTTATTTATCCATTTGTTCATGTGTCTATTTCATGAAAATGATTCTTTAGCTCAGCTAGTGAGTCGGCCAACCAAGTTGGAAAGAAAAGCATCAGAAAGCATGTCTCCCAGGCTGCCTTGGGCAAGGGTGGTGAGGTGCAAATTATCAGGTTCCAATGGCAATCCCTTGGCGTCCACACATATTACAATAGGAATATCAGTGTTCACCTGAGCTTCCCTCACTGTATCTGTATAATGCTTTCCTCCTGATGCCAAAGCCACCCGTGTATGTTTCGATACTCATTAAAAAAAATAAATAAAAGCTCATTGAAGGTGACAAATTGTATGAAGTAATCAAGATATACAAGCATTGGGGATGCTCGAAATTGAGCGTTGCTATGACAAGCCATTGGATATAGACATTGGACTTACAATCCTGTATTGCGTGAACAAAAAATGTAATGAAAATCCCCCTTTAACAAGAGCAAAGCTACTACAAATTTCTATTTTTCTTTTTCCTTTTTCGCCAATATGGGGAAATCTCCAAAATCTTGAGAGTTACTAATTATGCATGAAGGGTCTTTTTTTCTTTTTTTTTTTGGGTTGATGGGTAGTTTTCATTTTTTTTTTATAAAATTGTTTTGAGGAAGTTTCCATAAAACTTTTGTGTAGTAAAATCGAATTTTGGTTTTATTTATTACAAGGTCCACCATTCTTCCTCCATTGCAAACATGACAGAAAATAATGAGAAAACGACTTAACAAGTTCTTGTATTTCCTTAAGTTCATTTTTTTTTTTAACAAAGGAACCCACAGTCACTATTCGAGAGTGCATACTAGGTAAACCCCGTCCCGTGTAATAGCCCGTCAATCACACGGAGGGATAAGATGCACTAGGCAAACCCTATGCGACGGGCAAATGTCCCAAGAGAAGTTCGAACCCAGGTTGGTAGGATTCCTTAGTTCATTGTTGATCACTACGTCAGAAAGAAAAATTAACACACAATCAAGTGGGTTTCAAGGTTGTTGTTGGGCAATATTGTCAACTCAACAGCTAGTATATGCAATATTCTTTTTATTCAATACATCCTGAGATTGGTGAGGTAATTGACAATACATACTCACCTATTATTATCTTTTTTCAAACTAATAATTAACTCTAGTCACAGGCTTTTGTGTAATTAAACAATTAATACTCAAGTTCTAATTTTGTTCTATATAAGTGAAGCCATGCTTTCCCGATTCTCCTTAATTTTACTCCGGCGTGGACCCTAACTCAAATTCTTTAAAAAACTATTATTCACCCAAATCATTCTAGTTATTTGGATTGAAGAATTAATTTGATAAAGAATTTAAAATCCATCCAAATCATTCTAGATAGAGGGAGGTATATATTGAACATGAAATTGAAACATAAGGGAAGGTATATAATTGATCATTAAATTATATTGAAACAGAATGGGAGATATATATTGAAACAGAAGGGGAGGTATATATTGATCATGAAACTGAAACAGGAGACGCACCATGTTTTTGAAGTATATTTGATGCAAAATTTTTTATTTAATGTTTTCTGATATCAATATAGAAGACCAAAGTCCTTCTTTTCTTTTGAGGCTAATTCAATTTAAAAAAAAAAGGCTACAATTTTTAGCTTTTTATGACAAAAAAATATAATAAATTACATCCTAAAGTGTACACGATTTCCCGTGTATGTATTAGCACATTTTCGTGCAAAACAGAGCATGAATACCTTCTATAATATTTATTGGATAATTGCACTATATTTTTTAATTAAGGTTTCAATTGCTCTCTCTTTATATAACATTAAGCTTCAAAAATTGTGGTGTCATAGACAAGTCATCACGTATAAATTACCGTGCGAGAGGTGCTGATGCATAGTTGGAAGCACGAAGCCTATAAATAAATGAAAGGACAAATATTAGTACTTAAGATAATCTGTCAAAAAAATTTTTTTTTTTAAAAATCCCTACTCACATTGGAATTCTGTTTTGTTTTGGATCTTTACCTTCTTAGAAGATCACGAATTGGAAAGGACATCACTAATTGGTCAAATCTAGATGCGCATATCATATTTACAAATAAAAAAAATGTTTAAAAAAAGGCTTGGCTGAGTAAACATCAAAACATCAAGGTAAGCATATTGTCATCTCATCCCTTGCCTCTAATGCCCTAGTCTCCTAGACTCACGTAAAATATATACCCTTTTTCCACCTATGCCTTGCGTTTCTTAACTATTTTTTAAAACAATTCACCTACAGAAAAGTAATTTTGAAACGGGATATCTCTATGTGATAGACACAAATAATTAAAAACTGGATCATCTTTTAGTTTAAATTTATCCTTAGTTTTGAAACAAGATATCTCTATGTGATAGAAACAAGTAATTAAGAAGTGGATAATCTTTTAGTTTATATTCATCCTATAAATCATATATCGTTTATAATAAGGTTTTCCCTTTTATTAAAGGCTATAGATATTAAACAATCTCATACCAAAAGTACATAGAGCATAATTAGTTTAGGTGTAACAACAAATACCCTAAACAACCTCCTACTTCTCCTACTTGTTTTTAAACCACTTATATAAAGAACCATTCAAGGGAGTAGCTTAAACATCTCCTGTCCTCATGGAAACAACTACTTTACCAGCAAATCACCACACATTTATTCCAACAAAGTCCAAAACCACACCTATAAATTGCTTCCATTAACGAAGGAAGAATGCCAAGCAAGAGCATCCAGCATCAAGAGCATCAGAAGCACAGGCATATTTTCAACCGAAAGGGGCAAGGTTGGGTAACTATTCTCAAAATTCTTTGAGGTTCTTGCCCTTCAACTGCCTAAAAAAACCCCAAAAAAATGGAGATGAAGAAGATCGCTTGTGCAGTCCTTGTGGCCGCTGCCTCCGTGAGCGCAGTCTTGGCTGAGAGCCAGGCACCCGCACCTGCACCAGAAGCAGCCAACAGTGCCTATGCTGCATTGCCCGCCGTTGGAACCGTTGTCGGTGCCTCCCTCGTGTCCTTCTTTGCCTACTACATGCACTAAATTAATTGTAAACAATTAGTTTCAGGGGCGAAGGAGATATTGAGAAATGGAGGAGTGGGTAGGAATGTAATAAAGGTGTGTTAGGGCATGATGTCTGGATATCGATACAAACAATCAACTAATGATATACCCTAATCTAATTAGAACATTATGGTACGATTTGACATTGCTTTGAATAGTGAAACAAGGAGATGAAGCAACAGTTCTTCCAAGGACTATTTGTCGTATAAGAATTTGGGGGATTGAAATGTGCAGCATTTTTACATCTTAAAAGGGTACATCAACGAAAAACTCAAACAAGACAAATTCAATATAAACAATTGGAACTGTTCTACCGAAGTTAATTTTAAGAACTTCTACTTAAGTTTATTTATCCATTTGTTCATGTGTCTATTTCATGAAAATGATTCTTTAGCTCAGCTAGTGAGTCCGCCTACCAAGTTGGAAAGAAAAGCATCAGAAAGCATGCCTCCCAGGCTGCCTTGGGCAGGGGTGGTGAGGTGCAAATTATCAGGTTCCAATGGCAATCCCTTGGCGTCCACACATATTACAATAGGAAGATCAGCGTTCAGCTGAGCTTCCCTCACTATGTCTGTATAATGCTTTCCTCCTGATGCCAAAGCCACCCGTGTATGTTTTGATACTCATTAAAAATAAAAAATAAAAATAAAAGCTCATTGAAGGTGACAAATTGTATGAAGTAATCAAGATATACAAGCATTGGGGATGCTCGAAATTGAGCATTGTTATGACAAGCCATTGGATATAGACATTGGACTTACAATCCTGTATTGCGTGAAAAAAAAAATGTAATGAAAATCCCCCTTTAACAAGAGCAAAGCTACTACTACTTTCTATTTTTCTTTTTCCTTTTTCGCCAATATGGGGAAATCTCCAAAATCTTGAGAGTTACTAATTATGCATGAAGGGTCTTTTTTTCTTTTTGGGTTGAAGGGTAGTTTTCATTTTTTTTTATAAAATTGTTTTGAGGAAGTTTCCCTAAAACTTTTGTGTAGTAAAATCGAATTTTGGTTTTATTTATTACAAGGTCCATCATTCTTCCTCCATTGCAATCATAACAGAAAATAATGAGAAAACGACTTAACAAGTTTTTCTATTTCCTTAAGTTCATTTTTTTTTTTTTGTTGACAAGGAACCCACAGTCACTATTCGAGAGTGTACACTAGGTAAACCCCGTCCCGCGCAATAGCCCGTCAACCACACGGAGGGATAAGATGCACTAGGCAAACCCTATGCGACGGGCAAATGTCCCAAGAGAGATTCGAACCCGGATTAGTAGGATTCCTTAGTTCATTGTTGATCACTAGGTCAGAAAGAAAAATTAACACACAATCAAGTGGGTTTCAAGGTTGCTGTTAGGCAATATTGTCAACTCAACAGCTAGTATATGCAATATTCTTTTTATTCAATACATCCTGAGATTGGTGAGGTAATTGAGAATACATACTCACCCATTATTATCTTCTTCCAAACTAATAATTAACTCTAGTCACAGGCTTTTGTGTAATTAAACAATTAATACTCAAGTTCTAATTTTGTTCTCTATAAGTAAAGCCATGCTTTCCTGATTCTCCTTAATTTTACTCCGGCGTGTAGGGGTGTGCATCGAATTCGAAATCGGTAAATCGGAAGTTTGAAATCGGAATTTTTCAAAAATTTGACATGGATTTTCCCGACCGATTTCGAATTCGAAATGGCCAGTTCCGATTTCGACTTCTGACGGGGTTTTGATATACGTACAAGTTAAAATCCGATTTACACCCGTTTGACTGTAAGTATACAGGTCAAATTAGTAGTTTAGGGTATATATCGGATCGATCCCACGAGGAAGATTGAACAATTACCAGCATTACTAAAACTTCTCTATTATTTAGACTATCAATGAATTATAAGAAATGAATCCTACTGAACCTATGCAAAATAACAAATGAAAGCTCCTTAGGTTATGGTATCCCTAACTACTCATGCAAGTGCTATTTTTGGATCATTGGGAACTACTATCTTGGCTAGCTATGGTGTAATTTCCTTATGCATATGAATCCTACTTTCGTAGTGAGTTAATTATACTCATAACTAATCCAAACCTATTCTCATGGTTATGAAATTAGCTACAAGTTCATTTTTTCTGTGAAATTATATGAAATGAATCACTAAAATCACATAGGTGCACCTCTACTCTCGTGAGTGTACTCCCTGTGTTTAACACTTCTTGAACCAGTGTTAAATCTCAATTTTCATTGCAGAAACAACACCTTAGATAATCACAATCAATGGTACCAGATAAATCATGATTTTAAAGAGCTAAAGTGCTAAATAACTTGCTCAAATCATAGCAATCAAATAGCCAAATAATAAACATTAACAATCATAGGAAGTTCAACCAAACCCAAGGCATAAACTTTAGAGACACATAAATAACATAAAATCCAGACTTGTATATTAACCAAACTTGGAATTAAGTACAAAAGATAAAGAATTGGAAAGAAATGTAACCCTTGTCACATGAGTTCATCTCCTTGCCTTCTTCATCCTCCAACCTCCTCTTCCTCTAGCTAATAAACAAGATGGATGAACTACTACTCTATACTAAACTAATCTAACACTCAGAAAATGGAAGAGTTACATTTCTGCAGACTTCAAGCTTTCTCCCGTATGATCTTCTTGAATCTTGCAAGTTTTTTGCTATATAAAGGTAAAAGGTAGTCAAGGAATGAGGTTTACACCTCCCTTTTACAGCTGCAAAGTGTTTGTCACATGTCTAGCATTACATGTGACTTATTAGAGGTGAAATCAAGTTGTCCGCGTAAAGAACAGACTTTTCTAACCATAATCGGGCCATAAATCTGTCCAAGTTCCGCCCGGATTGATACAGTGACCTTTTTGTGCAATTTCTATTCAATTTCCAGCTCCGCTCCAATTTTGCCTCAACTTTAACTAAACTTTTCTTGATGATAGAAGCTAATTTAACTCTTGACCAAAACATAAAACTTGTAACTCTTTGAGTTAGCTTTCCAATGCATGAAGAATCACCTCATTTGGATTTGTGTAGCCTGAGAAATGACTAAAATACTCTTGACTGCTCACTGCCCTGTTTCAACTTCGACCAATAGAAATTGGCTACTGTAATTCGGTTTTTTGACCTAGAAAACCTTCAAACTGGATTTTGATGTCTTCAATTCTTATATTCAAATTGATTCAAGAATCATCTCAATCCGATTACTGTAGCTCAAGTTATAGCCGAAATACTAAAATGTGTTAAAGCTATCAAAAATGCACAAAATGCAAGTAAAAAGTGATAAAAACCTCATTAAATCACTTAAGACATTTTTCCCCAATTATAGCCAAAATTATTCATTTTCTTCCAACAATATAACCAAAGTGACTAAAAATAACATAAAATGTCATTCAATTATTACGTAAATTAGTCACTTATCCAATTCGATTCCGAATTTCGGTGAATTCCGAATTCACCGAATTCAAAAACCTGCTTTCCCAAGGTATATTGGGGAACCAGCTCAGCAAAACCCTAACCACCAAAACCCCGTTGTATATATCCAGCCATTTTGCCATCCCGGCTGCAACCGCGGTGAACGGTATTCAAAGTTCCAGTGGATGCATCCCCAATTGGGGCGAAAAAAACCGGGCCAGCGGAGTGGACTAAAGGCTCCGGCAGGCCATGAAAGCCCTTCAATTGCAGGCCCAAATTGAGAACCTTGGAGGCCGTTAGAGCGAGAGCCAACAGTGTAGTCACCGTCCGAGTTGAACTGGTGAGCAAAGATAGAGCGGGGTTCTGGTAACCAGAGCTTTTGGCAATTATTGCCGGCCTTTTAGGGTTTGCTAGGGAGAAGGAAAGCCGCAGAGGATAGGCAGCGGTGAGGTTGTTCGGAGAAATAACGGTAGGTTTTCGGAGGATTAAGGTCTGAGAGGCTATCAGGGAAAAAGCCATCTGGCTTTGGCTCGAACGAAATCTCCGGATTCTGAAGACTGCGGAGTTGATTCTAGAATTGCCCAAGCCGTCTTCCTTCAATTGGGCTTTAAGTAACCTTTGCGAGCCTTATCTATTCTTTTTTTATTCCGATTAGTAGTACTTTATTGTTAAAAAATATTATATTATAAAATGAAATCGAAATTATATTTTCGAATTCGACCCGATTTCAACCAATTCGAAATCAGAATTACTGAATTCTATTCCAAATTATCGAATTCGAAATTCCGAATTTAATTCGAAATCGGTCGGTAAATCGAAATTTTTCAACTTTACACACCCTTACCGGCGTGGGCCCTAACTCAAATTCTTTAAAAAACTATTATTACCCAAATCATTCTAGTTATTTGGATTGAAGAATTTGATAAAAAATTTAAAATCCATCCAAACCATTCTAGATAGAGGGAGGCATATATTGATCATGAAATTGAAACAGAAGGGAAGGTATATAATTGATCATTAAATTATGTTGAAACAGAAGGGGAGATATTTATTGAAACAGAAGGGGAGGTATATATTGATCATGAAACTGAAACAGGAGACGCGCCATGTTTTTGAAGTATATTTGATGCAAAATTTTGTATTTAATGTTTTCTGATATCAGTATAGAAGATCAAAGTCCTTCTTTTCTTTTGAGGCTAATTCAATTTAAAAAAAAAAGGCTACAATTTTTAGCTTTTTATGACAAAAAAATATAATAAATTACATCCTAAAGTGTACACGATTTCCCGTGTATGTATTAGCACATTTTCGTGCAAAACAGAGTATGAATACCTTTTATAATATTTATTGGATAATTGCACTATATTTTTTAATTAAGGTTTCAATTGCTCTCTCTTTATATAACATTAAGCTTCAAAAATTGTGGTGTCATGGACAAGTCATCACATATAAATTACCGTGCGAGAGGTGCCGATGCATAGTTGGAAGCACTAAGCCTATAAATAAATGAAAGGACAAATATTAGCACTTCAGATAATCTGTCAAAAAAAAATTTTTAAAAATCCCTACTCTCATTGGAATTCTGTTTTGTTTTGGATCTTTACCATCTTAGAAGATCAGGAATTGGAAAGGACATAACTAATTGGTCAAATCTAGATGCGCATATCATATTTACAAATAAAAAAATGTTTAAAAAAAGGCTTGGCTGAGTAAACATCAAAACATCAAGGTAAGCATATTGTCATCTCATCCCTTGCCTCTAATGCCCTAGTCTCCTAGACTCACGTAAAATATATACCCTTTTTCCACCTATG